ATTGGGGTTTAGGATTTTGGAGGGGTTTTTATTTTTTAAACAAATTGGCTTAATGCCTTGTGCTTGATTTTATAAAGTAGCCAAGCACTGCAGGCTTTTGGCAAATACACTTGCTTGAACAAATGCTTTTGTGTTACACTAGTCAGTCATTGTTTCTGTCATTTTTATCTTCCTCTCTATTTTTTCATAGCTGCAATGTTTTAATCTTTTATTTCAAGTACAACTTGGCCTTTATATAACAACGGATTTTGTGAACTTTCCTGGAAGCTGTGCTGATTCAATACATTCAGGCTTCTTGGGGAACTTGGTTTCAGTTGAAAAGTTTCTAAATTATGGGAAATATTGTTTGCATGGCACTCATTTACAAGATGGCATGGCATGTGAAAGAACAGGTGTGAAAAATGAAGTGAATAAAATTGGTTGTGAAATACAAATGGGCATTTCATGGGCTTCTGTCAGGAGAATGTCTTTTCTAACCTGTACTAAATATTTGATTTTTCTTTTTAGCTGGATGTTTTCCTCCTGAAATTAAATTACATAATATTTGACTAACACTTCTTTACATGCTTAGTTTTAAATTAAAATTCATAATTAAGCTTAATATGAAATTATAAGATTTGATTTAATGCTTTCTTCCAGTGCCTGAACTAATGTACACTGCATTAGAAGGTGCAGTCGTCATTGAGAAGCTTTGTTCTTTTAACAAAAGGTACCAAAAATAAATTTGGTTAGGGTCATAGTGGTCTAGTTTAATACTGTTATGATAATAAGTTCTATAATTACTTTCAGGTAGTTCTTCCTTCCCAGAGGATGAGGTTTTTAGTTTTGATATCTGCTTAAAGCATGAGTATGACAGTAAAATTAATGTCATAACCTTTACAGCCTATTTATCGCTTTCTCCCTAATATCCTAAAGGATTTTGTGTAACATCTAAAATAAATGTCATAGTATGGACAAGCATCGAATTAGGTTAATTGGGTTCAACTGATATTCATATTCAGTGTGTCTATCAGGACACCTGTTTCATATAAAAGACCTGTGGGTATCTTCCTGTGAAAATTGCTTTTAAATTATTACATGTATATGCTCTGCTTCTTTTGGTTGTTAAAGACTGAGTTACAGCATGGGATTTTTTTTTCCAGTTTGCTTGCTGTTTTTGCCTCTCAGGGATAATGAAATTTATCCTTTCATTCTCTGGTAACATAAGGAATAGTACAGGCAAGATAGAGCTTGTTTTATGGCATTAAGAGAGATTTTACTTTCTAATTCTGTCCAGCTTCAACTCTACTTCACTTGAAATTCTTGTAATAGATTTCTTTTCATCTCAGAGCAGTCAGCAGCAGATTTCTGGAGAACTAATTTGAGTTCTGGAATACTGTGACTTCAATAATTTTATTTAGTGTCTTATAGTAGAGTTATAAACTGAGCAAAACAAATGTTAAGATTATATAGTATTAAAAAATGTTTATCATTTTGATAAGCTCTCAGGTGGAGAAGAATTTATGATACTGCCACATAGAAATAATCTGTATCATCTCCTGTATTTGGCAAGAGCCTGTATTGCATTCAAATATAACCAGGGAAGAGTGAAAGAGATTTGACTCTTCAGTATTCAATAAAAACATCAGGACATACTGAATTATTACTGGTGATCAGTCTAAAATTTTTTCTGGATGTAAGAGTGTGAAAGGTACAAAATTAATCAGTAATTTTAGTTCTAAGCTTAGGGTTTTTTTGAACTTCAGCCTGTTTTGTTTTTTTTTTTATGGGAAGTAGTGAAACCAATCCACATTTATAGTGAAATGGGGGGGAGGAAAAAAACCCCAAAGCTGCTCAGAGCAGGTATAAGTACTTCTGTAGATGTTAGAACCTTCAAATTCTAAAAGTTTGAATCAATGCACTGTACATAACCTTGTGATAAGACTGTATTTTATGTTTGGGACATGCATAAAATGTCTGTAGATAATAAATATCTGTTAAACATATTACAGCCTAGCAGAAAAGTGTCAGAAACTCAGAGAAAGGATCAAAAAAACAGGGTCACAGTTGGTGTATTTGAAAACAGTGTAAAACATAGATAGAACAAGTGCACAGTGTTTATAGTTTGCTTTGTAAACTGTATATGTACAGTCAAAGAAAACATGTTTTAACACAGTCATACGTATAAGGATGGATAGAAAAATTTGAGGGGATGATGATAGAATTTGTCCTGATTTCAGAATCTTGAGCTCTTCAGTTTTCCTGAAAAGGGAGGTTACTTGATTAAATATCTCCAAATGTAAAGTGTGATGAGAGGTTCTTTCACATAACAGCAATAAAAATATTATTTATGAATTGCTAAAAGAAATTATCAATGTTAATTGGAGAAATTATACTTCTAAAATTATTACTATTATTATTAAGAGCTGGCGATCAATGTATTTGTCAAATAAGCACTGGAATTTCTAGGTTAATACCATTACCTTGCTGCAGTTAGAGTTGAATTCAAATCAACTTGTCTCTACAAAATGTTTGGATTTATATGATCCAGTTTTGTGTTGCAGTGTCAGGGTTTGTGAATATGTCTGGGAAGAACATTGTAAGAATGTCTGGAGCTTCTGTTTCCACATAGTATTCTAAGAATTGTTGATCTGTATCCTGAAGTCTGGTTTCTTATAAATCTAAAACTAGATAGTAACTATAAATGGTGCACCCTCTTAACGTGATTTAATGCTCCCATGGAAACCTAAAAAAATGTGACTTTGAAATAATAATTTTGAGAAGCTTTATTTGAACAATTTCTCAAATTGTTTTTACAAGAATATGTATTGCTTTAAATGTTTCAGTGTGTTTTGAAGTGCTGTAAATACTAAAGGGGAAGAAAAACTTCAGACTTTGATTCTCTGAAAAGCTGTTATTGATCAATATGGCCTCAAAAGAAGATGTCTTAGAATGTAGTTGACAGAGAAGTTGGAAACCCGTACTGGTTTCTAGAAGTGTCTTACCATTCTGAAATTACATTGTTGTGGCCTGTTCCATTGCTGATGTGCAGAGGGAATTGTCTGTGTGTTCCCATGACACCAAACTGCAATGATGATGAGCCAATGTGTGTTTGTGTGCTGGGTCTGACAGCTCATGTCTTGGTTGCTTAAGTACCACGGACAGAGGCTGTTTGAGGCAGTCAGGGATCTGCTGATGGGCATCAGCAAACTGCTGCAAGGAGGTGCTGGTTGATGGACCAGAGCTGTTTGTTAGGTATGGCTCAGAAGATACAGGTACCAAAGAGCTTCACCTGTTTGCTCTGTGAGGCGTCACAGCAACCATGCTCAATGTTCTTCTATGTTTTCATGTTGAACTTCTTGAAAATGGAATTGGTTTTCTCTTTGGTACTTAACTGCTACCTACAGAACCATCTTCTAACCAGAACCTCACCATTGCTTTTTGAGAGTAAATTGCATGATAGTAAAGAAATATATTCAAGGCTTATTTTGTTTCGTATTTGCATCAGTATTTGTTCCATATATTTCTGTATTTTACCAAAACTGATCTTTGGTACTTCATGTGCCCAGAAGAAGGGTCTTGAGTGCATGTCTGGTGTGTCCTTCATGTAAGATTCTCCTGGCTGTTAAACTGGTCAGGAAAGTCAGCAATCTCCACATCTGTGCTGCTGGCTTTGTGGGAATATTATAGATGTACACTGGTATGAAAGCCTAGATCTGAGCAAAATCCAAAGAAGTTGTAGTTCCATCTGTGTTAGTCAATGGACTTATCTGTTATCTTCCCAAAGCCTCCTGCTGCATCAGGAGAACAAGAGCTTTATACCCTTTGTGATGTTTTTGTAACATATTTGTGGTATTCAGTCGAACCAAACTATTATGTAGCTATTCCAAAAGCTAGGCCATTATATGAAAAATAAATCTAAGTGGATAACAACACTTTTATATTGTTATTATATTATTCTACGTCTCTCTTACCTGACTGTTGAATCCCACTTCACCAGAGCTTGAACAGCACACTCAACTGCACTGGAAAGAAGTAGCCAACTCTTAATAATGGGTGGCCATTTAATGTAAAGCTGTTTTGTCAAATGTAGTACATCACATCTTGTAAATACCAGCAGCACATTCAGGACAGATGTCAGTGTAGTGTTTGGTTCACAAGAGCAAGGTAGTATCTTCATTAGAGCATCCATGGAAGATTCTGCTGGTCAGACAGTTGTGTGGGATCCATGCAGTCACATAGAATCACAATGGTTTGGGTTGTAAGTGTCCTTAAAGGCCACCTAGTTCTAACAGCCCTGCATGGGCAAGGAGCCTTCTGTTACATCAGATAGCTCAAAGCTGCATCCAGCCTGGCCTTGATGAGACATTCACAGCTTCTCTAGGAAAACTGTTCCAGTGCCTCACTACCCTTACAATAAAGAATTTCTTCCTAGCATCTAATCTAAACCTATCCTGTTTGTTTAATGCCAATACCCTTTGTCCTGTCTGGAGATGCACTTCTTAAAAGTCCACTCCAACTTTCTTGTTGGCTGCCTTTAGGTACTGGAGGGTGCTATAAGGTCTCCCTGCAGCCTTCTGTTATTCAGGCTGATCAGCCCCAGCTCTGTCTTCAAAGAGGTGCTTTACCCCTGTGATCAACATAGGGACTCTCCTCCGGATCCTCCCCAGCAGGTCTGCATGTTTGAAGGGAAATGATCTCTTAACCCTGTATTGTCTGTGATTCTTCAGAATGCATTGTCATGTTGGGATTCATTACTGTCCTCTTTCCTGGCTTTGTGAGGGGTGTTTAATTACGAGAAGCCCAAGTTAGTAGTGCACAGTGCTGAAATACAGACAGCACATATAGGGGTCCAAAGAGACGCTTAGTTTAAAACTCTGGTGGTGTTTTCATGAGAGCTATGGACACAGTGGGATGCATTATGAAATGCAAGTCTGGAAACTATTGCCATTATCCTGTTCATTTTTTTGTTAGTTTTGAAGAAATTATCAGAGCTTCTAAGTATCTGTATTTCTTTCTAGGAGCATTGTCGTAACTGTTAAAGGGCATAATGCAGAATCCGTTAACAGTTTCTGCAGGTATAGTATGCTTTCTATATTTTATTTAGAAATTAGATGCGATTCAAAATGGGGAAGAAATCTTGTCATTATTAATCACTGTATTACTTGTGTCTAGTATTCTGCTGTGGTATGATTTGGAAAAAAAAATTGACTGCAGCATTTATCATTTTAAATAATTACAAAAGCTAAAATTGTTTTCTTCTTTAGGGCATTGCTCATTACTGTTAACACCTGTAGTTAAAACTTGAAGTGCATAAATCTGCTTCTTCTTTGATTTAGCAGAATTAAGTATTTGAGTTTTATTAATTTTTTAAAAAATCTTCATATATGTGAAAATCCCTACTATATTTGATCCTCATATTAAATGGGGTCAAATCTATCTGCAAATTATGCTACACAGTTAGCAGAAACGGGAATAAACATTAACTTAGATTTTTTTTTAAATGCCTTTTCTACAGCAATCCCATCCTTACTAATTTTTTTTGTGTTTAGTTCTTTCTTCTTTATGGTCTCTTCAAATTTGTCTTTCATTTAATTTCATTTTCACTAGGGTTGATGACTTGATTTTTTTCCCTCTGTTATTAGTAAGGATATTGTGTATTCTCAAGCCTCTAGCTGTGTAGCTGTAACTTCAGTTTCCCTTCCCTTTTGATGTGTGTCTCAATGCTAGTATTTAAATACAATTTTTAACATGAATGTCATTTTTAATGATACTTAAATGTGAGTGAATGTTTGATGGATATGACATCAGCTCTAATGGACCTTTCAGAACCATTGTTGGTTGTCAGTTAAGTTTCCATTGTTAGTACTTATGTTAATTAAGAAGAGCACTATCTATTGCTTAATTTGAAGCTTTGAGCTTTTACTGTCATGTAAGTTTATACTTTACCTGTTTTGTGAAGACTGAGTATTTTTATGATGCTGTAATAATTCTGAGGAAGCTGTTCCAGAAGCATGTCATTCTAATTGATTTTAGTTGATGCGTTCTGTGTCTCTTGGGACTATTATTTCAAGGAAGACAGTAGGTACTGTTGGGTAAAGCTGTCCACTCCAGATTGTGCTCTACATTTCCATGCTTGTGACTGAAGTACTTAATTCTAATACTTAAAAGGATTAATTTAATTTTTGCTTTAAGTAACAAGAATTTGACCCTGGTTATAGTGTTACATTAAAGCCATTGCTGAATAGTAGTAGGAGAATATAGACTGTGAAGCTGTTTGCAAATTTCAAATTGATTAAGCATTTGCTTTACATTTTTTTGAAGGCTTTTTCTTTTTTTGCCTAAATCAAAATCCATTCCAGTCAGTATCCTGTCACTAACTTCTACCCAGAAGGAATGGCAAATGTGGAAGTGAGCTTCCATGTTAGAGGTCACAGAATAACAAAATAAGCTGAGTTGTAAGGGACCCACAAGGATCAGAGAGTCCAACTCCTGGCCCTGCACAGCACCATCCCCAAGTCACACCGTGTGCATAAGAGCATTGTCCAAACACTTCCTGAATTCCAGGCTTGGTGCTGTCACCACTTCCCTGCGGAGCCAGGCCCAGTGACCAACCACCCTCTGGGTGAAAAACCTTTTCCTGATACCCAACCTAAACCTCCCCTGACACCTCTTCAGGCCACTCCCTCATGTCCTGTCACTGGACACCAGAAAGAGATCAGTGCCTGTCCCTCCTCTTCCCCTCACAAGACTGCAGTGAGGTCACCCCTCAGTCTCCTCTTCCCCAGGCTCAACAGGCCAAGTGATCTCAGCCCCTCCTCACACTTGAGGCTTCCCCTCAAGGCCCTTCACCATCTTTGTGCCTCTCCTTTTCATGCTTTCTAACAATTTTGCATCTTTCTTACACTGTGGCACCCAGAAGTGCCCCAGCACTCGAGGTGAGGCTGTCCCAGCTCAGAGCAGAGCAGGGCAATCCCCTCCCTTGCCCGGCTGTGCCGGATGCCCCCAGGACAGGGCTGGCCCTCCTGGCTGCCAGGGCACTGCTGGCTCATGTTCAACTTGCCATGGAGCAGGACCCCCAGCTCCCTTCCTGTGCCACTGCTCTCCAGCCTCTCATTGCCCAGTCTCTGCATCCAGGGTTGCCCCATCCCAGGGGCAAAATCCAGCACTTTGCCTTGTTGAACTTGATGTGGCTGGAGAGTGCCCAGACCTCTGATTTGGTGAGATCTCTCTGCAGGGCCTCCCTAGATGATGACCAAGGTCTATATCAGTTTGAAATGATGATATTCTACAAATATTCTAGTCTCTGCATTTTTTTTCTTTACTATGAAATTTTTTGTCTTTATATCAAGTACCACTTGTTTCTGAAATGTAGCACTTTGAAAATATGGAGGGTATTAGTAATTTGTGATGATTTATGTACAACTCTAATGTTGGTACATTTCTTATAAATAAAACTTTCAAAAATAGGTTATATTGGGAATAGAAGCTATCCATCAGTTACATTCAGTATGGCATATTTGTTTGTGTTTCTGTCCTTTGAATGTGCTCGTTATTTTTGAGTTAAATATGGAAGTAATGATTAGTGCAAGTTCTTTGAGTGACAGCTAAACCCTTCACTGCTGCCATTTATCATGTAATAGCAGGTGTTCTGTAATTTGATCCATACTCCTTCAAGACATCTGCATTTTTCTCAGTTTTAAAATATTTTATAGGAAGGGTGACTATGTTTTATGTAGCAAGGAATTGTAACACTGTGGTCAACTAGGTTCACTTTTCTGAACAATGATAAGTAACTTGTCAAATTTTATTTCTTCCTCAGGGTTATGAAATTATCATTTCATTCATATGACAATATATGGCATGACAACAATCACTGAAGCGTTATATTTGACTATTCACGCTCACGTTAAATATTTACTGTTGAGCATGTGTTGGTACTTTTTATATTGCTCCATAATGGCATACAATATAGTTTTGCCTTAGTGAACTGAAATACCATTGGTATTGTCAGATTTGTAAAATTTTTTTGTTAAATGACTCTAACATGAAAGAATTGTGTATCTTAGACAAATATTTTGCAAGATATAAGGCTGTCCTAGTTTATTTATCTAATAGTAATTATTTAAATAATTAAGTAATTTTAAGTAATTTTTCTAACATTGGAAAAGGGTATCACACACTAAAGCAATATAGTTTTTTTTCTTTGAGTATGTTTATTTTAATCTTTTTAGGATCATAGGTCAAGTGTGGTTCTGTACATTTTGTATCCATATTAGTATGGTTTTTTGGTGCTGTGAGATCTCAAACTTCCATTAGCTTTGTAAATGTGTTTCTTAGCATCAGCTCTCACTTTGCTGGAACCCCTGCTGCCTTTATATCATTAACATAAATGCAGGTGCAAATAGCATTTATGCACTTTGATAGAAAGCAGTTGGAGACGTTTCACTGTGGGACACGACACTTCAGATTGTGTACATCTGTTCAAATAATGTATCCAAGCCAGTGACATGAATGCAAGGATAAAAACATCTGCCCCTGAGACCATTTGCCATACAGCAGATGCTTACATCTTTATTTATGCAGATGGTTTGTGTGATGAGCTGAGCAATGATGAAAGAGAGAAAGTTTGACAAAGATTTCAGGGTATTCCTTGGGATGGGAAAATATGTTGGTAACAGTGCTTAGTTTTCATATATCTACTGAAAGAAGAACATCTAGTGTAAATAGTGGTGGTTCTAGTAGCGTGGATGTGCCGTTTCAGGCACTGACTAGATTAACACAAGATCAGTAAAGGATTTTTTTTTTTTTTAAATCTCAGGCACAATAATCGTACTGCAGTTACAGAAGATGCTAAATCGTTTAATAGAAGTAATTACTTTCAGCCGGGAAGGCTTAACTGCTTTGCTTTCAGATGCTCTCAAGTTATACAAAACATTGAATTGACTGAAAAGTTTGCAGAGGTAGAACACTTTGGAATGCTAAACTAACTTGTCACAAAGTTATTGGGAGGTTGGGTGCGGTGCTGTACCTGATTCTGCGACTTGGGGGATTTTTCAGGACAAGCCGTACTTAGCATTACAAAGTTTTTAGTTGAGTAGAGTAGGCTGTGTGTTGTTTGGAGCTGGCAGTGGGGCAGTGGCCGTGAGCGCGGCTGTGAGCCGGGCTGGCAGCTGCGGAGCGGGGCCCGGGGCGGCGGGACGGGCACCGACTCCCTCTGCTGGCTCCGCTCCGGGCTCTTTGTCCGCCACGCCAGCTCCCCTGCACCGGCCTGCGGCTGCGGCACACGGCGGGCCAAAGGCCTCATCTCTGGCCTGCATTCCCGGCGGCTGCCTTCCTGCTCCCGTCCCCTCGTTTGCTGGCACCACTGCCAGGCTTTGCTGATTCATTATCACCTCTCAAGCAGCGTATTCCACACATCCAGACCTTCTCGTGAGAACCAGCGCTGCCTTTAAACAGCATGGTGACTAGCATAGGCAAGCTAGCAATGCCTATAAGCGCTGCAAATAATTGTCATTATGCACTGGGGGAAGAATACCAGTCAGATACTGTATTTTAAATTGTTTTCTGCTGCATCCTACTGCCAGTGAGGTCTAGTTGTGTTAAAGTACAGCAGCGAGTGATATTTTTATATGTTATGAAAACTAATATGTGCCTAGCCAGGACCATAGTATTTCCAAAGATGCTCTAGTTTTCCTATGCTGTATAGATCCATGTCTGGCTTTGAAAAAGTATACATACCTATTTGAAGCACTGTGGAGATCCTTTAACCTTTGTTTTTGTTTTAGTCTTTGGTGGAATTAACTACAGGTGGCATTGTTTTGCATATCTCAGCCAGAGCTGAAGAGTCTTTATGAAGAAATCTGGCTCATGAGAGAAAAGGGGGTGAAACTGGAACAAACAAAAACCTTAGCTAGGGATTCCCCATTCAAAACTCAGACCACTGAGGTAATTTTCAATGAAATTACTTATTAACAAAATCCCCCAGAAGATACTCTGTTTAAAACTCTTTCCTCTAACTTTTAAGAATTGTTCTGGATGTTTCTTTGGAGAATGATAAACTTTGTGTATAGTTTATAACGGAAGTCAAAATAGGCCAAACCAAGACTGACAGTCTTCTGATCCTCTGTTCATGAGGGAGTATTTTTGAGGTTTGTACTACAGAAGCCACCATGCAGATGTTTTTAATGGCTCAAGTAAAATACAGTTATATTAAGCCAAATTGGCAAATTAATTGTTTTCTCCTGCATACACTCTTTCTTTAGGATAAAAGTGTGATGATTCTCAAAAAAAAACCCCAACTACTCTTTAGTATGAATATAACTTGCTTTTTTGTTGTGTTCTCTATTTGCACACCAGTATTTGCAAAAAAAATAAATTTTGTGAGCAAGAGGCCTGATTGCCTTACTGAAGTGAGACATGCATGTTTTCTGTCCCAGAGAGGGTTGAACTCTCAGTGAGATGTAGATATGTTCTCTTTTTTGAAAGGAGAACAAAAATCTAATCAGAAACTATTTTATGATTTATTCATAAAATGGTTCTACTTGACCTTTTTGTGCTTCATAGTTCTTGAAGAATTCTGCCTTCATTTTTTTTAGAAGACTTGGTCATTACTATTTCCTGTATTTAAGAGAAAAGAAGTCCATTAATTACCATTTACATTAGGCATATTGAAATTTTGTCCATGTTGATTTGATCTTGATAGACCCTTTAAAAATGATTTTACATTGACTTTACAGTGGATGAGTTACTGTTCAGGTCTGTATCTTTCCTGAAGCTCACATTAAAACTGGCAATTGTCCCAGGAATTTTTAAAAATCCAATTAGTGTTTATCCCCACTTTCTAGAGGACCTAATTTGTTTGCAATGCTGTTGGGGGATTACGAATTACTAGTTTATGACCATCACCTCCCTGCAACTATTTTCTGAACAATTAGTTCCCCCAAGTGGCTGCATCATTGCAGCCTTGCTTTGCAAATCTTTAGGGATGGTGTCCTCTATGGGACAGAATGACTGGGCAAAACCAACAAAGATAACCACTGGACTTGCAGTGATACCAAAATAATTGCCATTCCACTCAATTGCATCCTGTCAGAACACCAAGTTTTCTAGATAATGCCCACTTGCAGCCTGACATGTTTGGTTGCTGAAACTAGCAGAGGCATTAATAAGCTGAAATACAGTCTTTGATGATGTATCTGACAGTGTCTCTCAAACAGAAGTTCTGTGCTTAAATAGAAATGAAATTCAATCACTTTGCATGGTTGCAGAGGCCAGGCACCATTTTGAGCCCTTGCCGTAGTGAGAAAAGGTTGTGTGTGATTTTTTCACCTCTAAGAGTGGAAAACATTATTAGTAATTACAACATGCTTTATGTCTAGCTTTCTTTAGGTCAGTTTTCATTTCTTGATATGAAAATATTTTGATCTGCTTAATTTTGTTGACATTAATATGAAATGAGTAGCTTATAACTAGAAAGGTTGTGCCTCCAAAAAAGTGGAAAGCTTTTCAAGTTCACAAACACTGTACGAGAGGTGCTAAAAAAGCATGTAGATCTGCTAATAAATGTATTTTAAATTCTCTGCAAAAGTGTCAAAAAATCTCTTATGTATCTCTATTCTGACTCTTAGGAAGGACTTTGAAGATTTTCTTCCTTTATATAGTAGCACAAAAAAGGCTTTTTTAAACTGGAGGTTGTGTTAAGCCATGCATTGCCCACATTATATATAGGAAGTTGCTTTTGAATAGTGATTTACCTTTGCGTGGCTAAAACATTTCAGGTTGCAGCTCAAAAAAGTTACTTCAAAGCTGTTGGCCACTTGTTATTCACTGTAGAAATAGTATTTCATGCATATATTAAAAGTTATTTGTGTTGGGACAATACAGAGATCTATGAAATCTAAATCCATGAGAAATCAAAAATTATGTCTTAAGTATTACTTTTGCTAATGGTGCTAATGTAGTGACTAAATTTCTTGATGTGTTTACTTGTGTTTAACAAGTCTGCTTTAGTATGAGCATTGTTTATGTTGTACTTGTTTCTGAGGTCAGAGATAGCGAAGCCAAGATGCTGGTGAGAGTGATGGACAGGTAAAAAATTTCTGCCTTGTACCTAGTCTGAATCTACTTTCTTCTAGCTTAAAATCATTATGCTTTGTCCTGTTTCTGCAAGCACTGTAAAAAAGTACTGCCATCTTTCTTTTCAGCTCCTTTCTGGTATTGCAACGCCCCAGTTAGGTCTTCTTGGAGCCTTCTCCAGACTAAATAACCCAATCTCTCTCTCAGCCTTTTCTCATACAAGAGGTGTTCCATCCTTCTCATAATTTTTGTGGCCCTACTCTGAACTTGCTTCAACGGGTCCATGTCTTTCCTGTGCTGAGTGCCGCAGAGCTGATACAGTGTTCCAGGTGGGTCTCACCAGAGCAGAGCAGAGGGGCAGAATCCTCTCCCTCCTCTGCTGCCCACAGTGCTTTGGATGCAGCCCAGGACAGTGGTTTTTGGTCTGTGAGTGCACATTTGCAGCTCACTGTTTTTCATCCACCAGTATCCCCAAGTTCTTCTTGGCAGAGCTGCTCTGAGTCACTTCAGCTCGGTCTGTATTGATACCAGGGACTGTCCTGACACATATGCAGGAAATCATGAGGTTCCCCTGGGGCCACTTCTTAATCTTGTCCAGGTCCCTCAGGCATTCCATCCTCCAGGTGTGTCAGGTGCACCTCTCAGCTTGGTTTTGCCTGCAAACTTGCTGAGGGTGCCCTCAGTCCCATTGTCTGTGCCACTGCAGGAGATATGAAACATCACTGGTCTCAGTACAGACTCAAGATACAACACTTGTCACCCATCTCCATATGAGCACTGAGCTGTTCACCATTCCCATCCAGCCAATTCCTTACCTATCCAATAGTCCATCTATCAATAGTCTATACCTCTGCAACTTTGAGAGAAGGGTGTTGATGAGGACTGTGTGAGAGGCCTCTCCTATGTCCGCTTTCAAACAACTGAGGAAAGCAATTCTGGAAGTTGAGGAAGTTGAATAATCTAATTTTATTTTTTCTTAGGTTTTGTTAGATCTGTATAAATGTTGTTTAGTAGTGCAGAAAGGACATTTCAGGCAAAACCAAAGGACTGAATTAGAGAGGAAACCGGAGAACTTCTTAAATGCAAACTATATACCCATGATCTTGGATTACTGTGTGATTTACCTCTGCAAGGTGACAGTTTATGCTAAAAATAGTTGTAACTTATTCCCACACTGAAAAATGCCACTAGAAATTTTAATGTTGAACATCTTCTTTAATGAAGTACAATTAATAAGCTTGCACAAACTGTACAGAAGGCCTTTATAATTTCGAAGCCTAAGTTATAAAATGTTTATTGCACAACTAGCAAATCACATTTATGCTCAAATAAGATGTAATTATATATATTTAATTATATAATTATGTATAAGCTTAAAGCTTCTAGAATTTTAACAAATTATTTTGGTCTTGTTCCTCCTATGGACTACCAGAATAAATTTTCTAAATGTATTTGCACATTCTGTATCTTACTAAAAACGTAAGAAATGTGAGATTCCTCTTTTGGCTTAAATGCTTCTCCTTTCTACATCACGTGTAATGTTGATTACCTGTCTTAAGTCTGCATTTAATTCCCATATCCCACCCTGACTCTTTGGCCTGGACACTTTTCAAATCTCATTTGTAGTCTTGTCCTTTTTCTGCTTGCCCTGTGTATTCTCCTGTTTCTCTGCCACACTGTCAGCTCTGCAGCTCAGAGATAAGGAGAGCCCATTTCCTTGTTCCTACTTGGGTACTTGGACCTAAAGCCATAGTTCAGGGAAAATCCGGCCCAGCCTGAAGCAGGAGCACATTCAGTAGAATGTAATCATTGGAAAAGTTAGCTGCTTGAAGAATCTACTGAGCACATGCCCAGAGTCTATAGCTTTGCCTAATTTGGGCAGCTTTTCACAGATCAAAGAGACTTTGCTGTGTCTCATATGAAGTTCTCCACCTGATGAACAGATGTGTCACTAAATTGAGTCGTGGGGTGTTTTGTTTTGTTGTTTGTTTGGGTGGTTTTTTTTGTTTCTTTTTTTAATGCAGACATACTGAGGATGGCTGGTATTTTCTGTTGAAATTAATTTTAGAAAATTATCTGATGCAAATACCCAGAGCAGAACATTCTGCCCATGTAGTTATTATTAGCAAAGGTAGAAACAACTGCAGATTAATTGCTGTAACATATAGAGCTGGACACTCATGATTTGTAGGCTTTATTATGAATCTTAGCTTGTATAGGTGTGTAACAAAATTAGTTTTTAATAAAGAAGTCAAAATTCTGTTTTCTATAATATCTGCAGTTTATTTACACCAAATTATGGAAAATGTAAATGAGTATAGAATTTAGTCCCTGTGTTAAAACTACTCAATAAGGCTACTGAATCTTCATTTTTTGAAGCATTTTGTTTTGCTGCTGTTGACTGTCTGCCATGACACTGAAGCTAAACCATCCCATCTGTTTGCCACATTAACCAGCTTTACTCAATTATTAAGCTATCACCTTGCATTTGGCATGTAATATATTAGATTTTAAAGTGTATTTTGAGGAGAGAAAAATGGCAAAGAGCAAAAAGCAGTAGTTTCCTTAATGCATTAACTGGAAGTTAATGTTTTATATTGTCGTTTTCTGGGTTTTTTTGGTTTGGGGGGTTTGGTTGTTTTGGGTTTTTTTGTCCTGGAATCTATTTATAACTGAAGCACTTTTGCAGGTGGTGTTTTTTTGCATGCTAATCCTGCAGAGAAACATTGTGTCCAACAAAGTATGCTGGGTCAGCAAAAGCAAGAAACTTGTGCTGCAAAGACAGTATCCACAGGTATTTGGTGTGTATGGAGATTTGGCAAAATGAATGATTAACTGTCTTTGGCAGAAAGAGATCTAATGTTGTGTGTTAGACCATTGTACATTTTTTTTCTTTCCCACAGAATAGATACTCTTCCTTTCAAAGTTAGCAAAAGATTCAGCAGTGTTAATAGGCATTGAATATTCATTAATCTTCATCTGTGTTCTGTCTTTTCCCTCAAAACAAGATGATTCTTTTTTCTGGTGTTTTCTCTCGTATGTAAATTCATACACAAATGAAATATGTGCACAACTGAAGTGGACCTAAAAGATTATTTTAAAAATGAACACTATTACTCAGTGGTTTCTGTGGTGGCTATTTAGTGGTTATTTTCAAAATAGACCAGATAGTACTGAAAATTAAATGTCTCCTGATACTTTCTACAGCATCTCAGTTCAGCAATGTGTGTTTTACATAGGGAACAAACTAAAGAAAGTACAAAAATAAGGCAGATTATGCTGGAGTAAACCAGACTTGGATGACTTGGGAAGGCAGGAGAACCATGAAGAAGCAGCAACCCATGGAAACTTCTCCAGAGTTTCCTCCAGAGGACTCTTCCCAGCATGACTCTATCAGAATTTAATGCATTATTGATTTTTGTGTTGGTGTGTCACTGTCCACTTCTACGCAATTTTAAGGTTATTTAGAAGGGATGAAAGCTTATGACATCCTGCCTATCTATCTGAGGGATTTAATACTTGCATGTCCTAGCATCGTACCCGTTAATTTTTTTAACAGAGACTTTTAAAGTAAATAGGTTGAACTGCATTTGGTTTACTCTTGTGTGTAATTATTTGTCTACCTGTTGCCCCACCTCTACACTCATCTGAAAGACTGAGGACACAAAAGTTAAAAATGGGCTTCACATCTTTAAGGTATTAAATCTAATATTTTCATTTATTTCCTTTGTTATTGATGACAATTTTAAAGAAAGTATAAAAATTTTTGCCTTCCAGTGAAGGATCTGCAGACTTGTAGAAAGAATGTTGTCTAAAACAAAGGGCCATCCTCTATGGATGCCACAAATGCGCATGCAGAGCCTCCCTTAACTGAAGCTTCCCCTTCTTAGGTGAAAGACTTCATGGGATTGCATAGGCACAAAAACTTTTCCTCAGGTCACAGGTGACAAGTCAAAATGAGTCCTTTGAATCAGAGACAGAAATAATTTGGAAGACATGGAATGCACCTGAGAGATGCAGATGAGGTTTCCAGGCTGCCTTTGCACAAGCCAGATAGCCAAAGCATATCCAAGTCCTTCAGTGTGGTGAAGACTTGAATTATTATAGCTCTGTCTGGGTGCAAAGGAAGTTATTGAAACTTTTCACCTAACTATAAATGGAAAACTGAATTTTGGTCATTGATGATACTTGCATGCTCTGAGTGGGGTCAGTAGAACCTCCTGTGAATTGACTGGCTGCTTTCTCCTGATTCAAGATCCTAAGTAGTCTTCCACCAGTTCTTCCAATTAGTTTTTCCAGTCTACAGGAAAAATGTTAATGGAGCCTGAAACATCATTAGGTAGCTAATCTGCATCTAGCCCTTCTCTATAGTCACTGGCTAAGCAGCTTAACTACAGTAGCTGTATTGGAGGGGAGGGAAATGCAGAGTCAAGTATTCCTTGGCTTACCAGAAGCACTGCAATGAATATTTGTGTGCAAAAATGTCTAATGTAAACTTCTGAAAAAGGAAAAAATAAAAGTTACATTGAAGGTTGGTACCAAACATAGCTCGCCTGGAAAACGTAATGGCTAGTTGGAAAAAGTGTTTGTATAAAAATCCCTTCTCAAACAGTTATATCAATTCTTAGTATTGTGTTACCTGTGTAAGAAGGGTATTGATCTAAACAGACCTTGTTTCAAATGGCATCTTGTGTTTGATATTGATGAAGGTCTTCTCTTTTAGAGCAATACTCTCCTGTGGAATGCTGAGAAAGTATGTGGAGATACTTTCTTTATAGAAAAGTGGTTTGACTGCTTAATTTTGCATTAGGCAAGTCAATGTATTTGAGAAACCTACTCTTCTTTTTAAAGCTAATGCCATACATAACTTCTACAAATATTTCATCCTAACTTCAAATCAACCTTGTTTTTATGGCTGCCATTTGTAGAAGTGGCATGTCCACAGCAAAAGTTCCACCTTTTCCTTTACCATTGGTTGAAGAGTGGGTGCCTTATAACTTGGAGTAGCACAGGTAGCAGTCTGCTGAAATGCTGGCTTTCCTAAAAGTCAGTGAATGAAGTTTTGAAATAAAAAGGGAGAGGAAGAAGTGAGAGAGAATGGAAACAGCTTCATTTTAAATACTGTGGCAAGCTGATGATTTGGAGAAAGTCTTTACTGTCAGTGTAGGACAAGCATAATCTGGAGAAGTACGAGTTGATTCTGCCCCCTTAAAGGAAAGTACCCTTATTCTGTTATCTGTTGTATTTAAGCTATATGTATTATTTAAGCTATAATATGTATATATTATACAGGGTTGACCTGTAACTATCATTGAAGTTCAGGGCTAGTTTGGTTAGTGATTAAAATTCTTTACATAATTTTATTGTTCTTCTCAGAAGTACTTAGATTGTTTACACAAAAGCAACAGGAAGATACCTTGTACGATACAAATCATCATCTGACTAACAAATCTTAGCAGCTGAAAATTTAAAGATTTCTATGTATTTAGTGACTAGATTTTTAAGAAAAAAATTAAAAATTGAGACTAAAAAGTGCAGAAGGGAAACAATTTTAAATATATCATGTTTCTGATTTTTCTAAGTTACACAAACCTGGACTTATCCCTGTGTGCAAGGATCTCAGTATTTGTGTAGCACAAATCCAGGTGAACAGTAACCCAGTCTGCACAGAATGTCTAGAAATCCAGAACATCTCAACAGACATTGAACAGAAAGAAAGTTATGGTGGTGCCCAGTAGTTTCACTTAACTGGAGTATAAAGAAAGTGCATAATGGACTCGGGGTTTAATGCAATAGATGGCAATAAAAGGATCAAAGCCTTATGCCCTGTATAGTTATTGCTCTATGGATCTGCTGATCAAAAGTTGTGAAAAGCATCAGATACACTAAATATGAACTGTACAGTTTATATTTGATTGCTCAGTGAATCCAGCATGTCCTGAAAGCAGTGGCTTTACTGCACACGTGCATACCATGGATACGCAAATATATCTGTCCAGGAGTTCTGGTTGTGAAACATGATAGGTCTGTAGCTTGCAGGACTTGTTGCAAAGTGTGTGATGACTTAGAAGAACATCCAGAATTAAGATAAATTTACTTGGAGTTTGTGTTGGTACTAATTCACAGTTACCTTTTTAAGTCCAGAATCACCTATAAATGCATTTGCAATGAAAGTGTTTAAAATGGCAAGGTATGGAAACTTTCCAATGGAATTATCTTACTACAATATTTCAAGGTTGCAGCATTTACTTTAACATGTTCTTTTCAAATGTGATTCCTCTCTCAAATGATTTTTGTTTGTGTCCAAATTGCCTTTCTGCCTGGGATCTTTGTAGCTGCATTTTCAATGGTTACAATTTCCATTTTTCCAGGAAACCTATTCCAGGTTTTGAGAGCTAGAAGCATCAGTAATTGAATTTGGGAGTGGGTAATGAGAGTGATAGATGAAATGGTAGTGGTACAATTAACTGTATCAACTCCTTTTCTGTGGAGTCTAAAAGGTTAGCAGGTATCTTTGCTGCCTAATGCATATTGTATTGTATGAATTTTATAGTTTTCCTTTTGTTTATTTTAATTATCATAACATTCTTTACTAAAAATATTTGCTACTTTTATGAAAACAAATAGAAATAGGAAGAAATTGTTGTATAACCTTGATAAATTACATCTTTCAAGAAAATGTTTAAATTACTAGTGTAGTTCTGTTTTGTGTTAGTGGCACATGAGTAATTTTTGTGATTGGGTATTTAACGGTAGTTCATATTCACGTATTTTTTCGAGTGCACTTCTGATTTTATTATACATTATTTGCATGTTTTGTAGCAGTAATTTTTCTAAGACTTCATCAGGCAAACTTTGGTCTGTATCTGATAAAACCCACAAATTCTAAATAGTAGAAAATGTCTGCAAGATGGCATGATTCTGTTTGAGATACATGATCAGAGCTGGTGCTCTGTCATGCAGCTTAAATCCTGTCCCTATTTTTCCAGTAGAATATTCCCAGTATGCTCTTGCAGCTTTTCCAGGGCTGAAGCGGCTTATGGGTGTATTTTTTCTGAAATGTCATGTAGTTTCTAACCCAGAATGAAACATCCAATTAAGATTTGATTCAGGGGAGATTTTTTTGCAAATCTGTGTTCAAAGGTGTTGCTTCAGACAGTGCTTTTGCCTATGAAACTTTTGCAGTTCTAGATTTAATTTGGTGATATTTAAATGCCTAAATATTTTAATAAGCTTGTGTGTAATAGTATCCTTTGTAAGCAGTTTTATTTTTGAGAGAGTAATTTTAAAAAAATACTATGTTATGTATCTTATTACATCTTTGCTACATTATTCTTACAGACAAACAGAAATCCCCTTCGGATCTAATACAAAGTTTTCAGAAGAAAAGTCAGTTTAGGACCATTGCTCCAAAAATGGTACCAAAAATTTTAACATCTGGAGTTGTTTCTTGCCATCAGTCATCTTTGTCTGAGCCAGTGACACCAATTTCAGCTTCAGGTTCTAAGCCCCTGGTGGTGCCAGCTCAGAACTATGCTGTCATGCAGGTGGCTGCTCACAAGGGCACATTTTCCCTGTTGGCTGTGCCGTGTGTTGCACCTGCTCTAACACAGCAAGTTCAGCAGTCGACTGTGGCCCCCTCTGAAAACCTAAAGCTGCCCATCCCCAGGTACCAATCTGTAAGAAATAAATTGCTGAGTGACAAAAAACCGGCACAAATCTCTGGTTTTGCGTGGAGTGCATGTAACAAGATTCCTACCAAAACGCTGATCTCATCACAGACTTCCCTCATGACTTCTCTGCCTGAAGACTGTCCTGAAGCTCAGTCTAGTTCAGATTCAGCTGAGCAAGGGGTGATAGACTGTGACTCAGCTGAAATTGGAGTTGCCACATTAGTAAATAAAAGCAATCGTGTGGAGTCTAGATCTCTTTTAATGAAGAAAACTGAAATTGAAAGCAATAATGTTTCTAGACCAACTGTAGTTGAAGACTCTCTATCCAAGCCAGCAAGTACAACTAATCCCATGAAACTAAGTCTACACTCTGTGAAGACAGAATCAGAAACCACAAGAGAGCCACTCCTGAGATCTGATAAACTAAAGGAAAAACCCACAAATTCTGCAGATCCTTTTGCTGTCTTGTCACCAGCAGTTTTTGGCAGTACAATTCAGATGACTTCATCAGCACCTAAAGGAAAACTTCCTATTTTGCCTTACTCGAGAATGAAAAATTCAGTGTTATGTAGATCTAAGCAGAATACTAAAGTTATGGACATACCTGGTCATTCACTAAAATCTGAATGTGAAAAGATACCATCTTTGATGAAAGCCAAAGCCTTTGATAATCAATTAGGTGTATCATTTACACAAGTCACCAAACAAACCATTCAAGAAAATACCTCCTCTCCATCCAGCAAAGTGGATGATGTTGACAGCCTTAAAAAATTGAACAGTGCAACCTCTAAAAGAAGAGGCAGGAAAAAAAGAGCCCCAGAAGATTTATTGGCTTTTCAGGCCAAACAAAGGAAATGCATCATTAATAAGTTTAGAGAAGAAAGAGAAAGGGTGAAGATTGATATTCAGACACCTGAAGACAATAAAGCAGAGGCGGTGAAAAAATACCGCAGTATCAGACCAAAACCAGTGGTGGTTGTGCAGGCGCTCGCACCGCTGGCTCCTGCAGCCATCGTAGAGACGCCGTCTCATGAGCAAGACTTATTTTTAAATGGTTCACTGGCCAATAAATGTTTAAGTTCCAGGCACAGTGATGCTACATCAGCTAAATCAAGTGATCTAAGTAGAAATACACGTTCAGCTGTCCCTAAGCCTCTGCACAGATGTCATGTTTGTAACCATACGTTCCAGTTCAAGCACCATCTCCAGGACCACATGAACACGCACACGCGCAAGCGGCCCTACAGCTGCAGGATCTGCAGGAAGGCATATATCTATTCTGGGAGACTGAGCACCCATATGAAGCTTCATCACAATGAAGGCAAACCCAAAAAGCTGGTGTGCTGTGAATTCTGTGCTAAAGTTTTTGGCCACGCAAAAGTGTACTTTGGCCACCTCAGAGAAGTCCACAGGGTTGTTATCAGCACAGAGCCCTCTACTAGTGAGCAACAGGTGCAAGGTACTTTAAAGAACAGAGACAGGAATATAAAAGAGGCAGAAGAAGCTACAGAGAGGTGAGTTTTCACTAATTAAATGCTAATGAAAACCAGAATTAAAGTGGTCAGCAGAAGTTTATAAAACTCATGAGAATTGTTGCTTTCTTCCTCCAAGTGAGATTCCTATGTGTTTGAGCATTCCATTTGAATCTAGTCAATCCATTAGACCAACCAGTATATTTTAGCCGATTTATTGATTACAAATCATTATTGACAATTAAATATCCAAAGTAAGTTTGCATATATTGTAGTAACACTTGATATAATGCCATATTTGGGTCAGCTGGTTTCTCGTGGTTAGTGCTCTGTCTTCTGTCCTACCCACTTTGAGATTTTCCCTAGAAGATAAGGGAATTGCAATTGCAGTAAGCGAAAAACAATTCATATTTCAGTGTTAGCTTGTTTTCCCTGATAAATATCATTATCCCACTTCCTTTTAGGGAGTGCTGTGAGCTAATCTGTCCTGAGTTTACTGCTGCTTTTGTGATCACTCAGCCAAGTAGAAAAGTTAACATGCATTATATTAACGTGAATAGAGCATACTTTTATGTCTGTATTATGATTTTGAGGTGAAATCTCTTGATACAGTATAAACGTTGCCTTTTTTCTTTGTTCCACTGCACATTTGTTTTCACTGAAGAACACTCGGGGCTTCAATGTAACTCCTCATTGCAACACTGCTGTCCCATTTTACTCCTTTCACTTTTCATAGCTCCAGTTAGAAACTTTTACAGTCTTGAGACTAAGAAACACCAGTGCTTTCCTGTCAGTCTTAGTAGATGTCATACAGTGAATCATTCAGTTTATCTCTTTCATTGGGTAATCTGTCCAATATGCATAAATACACAGTGTTATGAGGTCCTTCTAGTAGATGTTATGAGATGTCTGAGGAGATCTTGTTTCGATTGTCTTACCCATGGACTGCCTGTGTATCCTTTACATTGCAGAACTGTCCTAAATCAGGGACAGGGGCTGTCCAATTTCTCATTAGGTATTTAAACTTTTCTAAACCATGTTACCCGACTTGTAGGAAAAAAACAAAACAAGAAACTGAAATTTCATCGTTTCCGTGTTGGAAAGGGAGATGGTTTTGCCTCAAATTGACCTAGATCATTCACTGTAAACAAGTAGGTTTCTCTTACTTGTACATTACAGGTAGTAATTTTCACTTTTCTAGCACAGCACTAAAAGTATTTGGATTGACCTCACTGAATCAGGAACTTTAGCAAAATTTATCAGCCTTTTATTAAAGGCTGGTGGTGTTAAAAGGTTGTTTCTGCCAAGGCTAATTTGGAGGCAATTCTTAAACTCAGAAGTGTCATTTGGTTTCAGTTTTTTCTTAATCAGCTTTACTATTATCTGTTTCATTTTTTTTTTTCCCTCTTCCAAATGAATTAGAAACATTGTTTGTGTTTAATTAAAAGTGTTTTATGACTGTCATCAGTTTTTGAAGTTTGTGAGGACAGAGATCTCCATCCATCTTCTTTGCCTGCCTAATACTTAAATAGTTTGTATTTCCTTTTTTAACAGGGGAAATAACTGCAATTTTGAGGACCTATTCCATAACCCAGGAGGAGTGAAATTACAGGTCAAATGTGGTCGATGCCAGTTTATTGCAGAGTCTTTCGGTGAAATGAAGTTTCACTTATTGTGCTGTCATGGAGAAGAGATTCAGGGAAGAGTGAAGGAAGGGGTTTTGCAAGGAAGCAGAGGAACAAAGGGGGGACTGGTCAAACATACAACCCACGTGTGGAAACAGCACGATGAGAGAAGACGTTTAGCAAAGTGCAGCGCCCGTCAGGAGGAGCTGTATACTGTTCCAAAACCAAATAGACAGATACCCTTGCACCATCACAATAATGTCAGTATTTTACCTAAAAGTGAACTGACTCAGTCAGGAAATAGTGAAGCCTCCAAGGAGATGAAAAATGTGGGGTTTGGTACACCAAAGAAAAAAATAGAATTTTGGTCTAAAGCAGGCTATAACTGCATTTTATGCGAACAGTTATTTGGAAGAAAAGAGGATCTTTTTAATCATTGGCAGAGTCATCATAATTGTGAAGACCCTTCCACTTTATGGACAGTTTTTACTTTGGTATCAAAACAAAGAATTATTGAACTTTCTGATAATGGTGAATATTGAAGCTCAACTCTACAGTGCAATGAAAAATATTAACTACCTTACCAAACTCTTTTTTCACTGTCTTGCTAAACTAACTCAACAGATGTATTGCTTCAAACTTGGTAGTTGGGTTTGTTGGGGATTTTTTTTAAAGTCATACTAACCTTTATTTTGGTGACTAGAAATGTGTTTGTTCCATATTATTGCAGGTGGGTACATGGAAGCTGATTATCAATCCTTGTACTTAAAATTCATGCTTAAGGAACTTCATAACAGCAAATAGTCAATACTAATGGTTAACCTCAATGAAATGTATTTTTGAGTTAAATTATACTGTGCACACAGAAATAATTCAATTTCTATTAAGTAATCTCAGTCTTAAATGTAATCACACACCTGACTAGAAGTCAGGTCCCAACTAAGCTTCCAGATTTTGTGGTAAATGCATATTTCCATGCCGTTTTCTTGATCTTTTAAATGTGCATACATGCAGCCAGCACTTGGGAGCTTTTTAGTGTATAATTTAAGAACTTTTAACATTTGTTTTATTGATTTCACTGTCTTTAAACATGTTCATTGCTTGCAGGTGTTCAGTTCTGTCCTGTTAACAACAAAGATCTTTTTATTTTAGAAGTAAGAAATCTACATGAATTTGTTTGCATGTAGCTTTTTGGATTGAAGATGAGTTGACACCCATTAAGATGGAGCCCAGTAGATTTTCAAGGAGGCAGGTCCTGTCAGGCTGTAAGGGCGTGGAGTTCTAGAGCTTGATTTTGATGAAAAGTTGAAAATGTTTCATTGAAACATTTAATCCAATTTGAAATTGGTGATTAAACTGCTTAAAGCCTTATATTCCTCTGAATTATTTTAGGAACGATAATGCAGGCAAGTCTAAGAAATCACCACATCACTCTCCAACAGAAGTCAGAGCACGTCAGAGGTCAAGCTGAAAAATATACCAGAACTGTCCCTGCAGTACTACTGTATTTATTCCTTTTTGTGGTCAGCTGTAATTGAAGGATTGCAGTGATAAAAGAGTCGTTCCTAAAATGGCCTGTGTTGCCTCTAACTGTTCTTCAAAAATTATGGTGGTGAAAACATGAGAAGAGATGTAAAAATGTTGGGCTTTCTGAGTGGGATTCCTCAAGCTGTTGCAATATTTTGTGTATGTCTTTTATTTTTAAACAGTAAACACAATTTTGATGACCTAAGAGTTTTGAATGCAATTTCTTGTTTTGCTTTGCCCTGAAGTTGAACTGTAAGGTAGGAATCAAGAGTAACAAAAGACAAAAAGAAAATGCCAATAGAACTGTACAGGTACCTGGTAAGGTTGAAGAATTCCCATGGATTTTCAAAACTTCCTTGCTACTATCTGTTGCTATGAATTCAGATTTGTGGCTGTTTCTTTGCTTTCATATATTTGGTTTATTTTATGCTGAATTACCTTAAAAGTAGTACTTGTTCTTATTCTTGACACGTTCATCTTTTAATGCCTACAATATATTCATTATTTATTTTCACTGGCATATTTGGACAGGAATAGCTATTTTTTAAGTCAGTGTTTCATATCAGACCAAGGCTGTATTTAACTTAGTAGAGTGTGTTGCATTTAGCAGCATTTTTTACCCCTACAACTTAATCCTTTAACTTTAAAAATCAACCAGCAGGGTGTTTTCCATGAAACAGAAATGTGAGAACAGTCCCTCCTTCCCATAGTTACTCTGTGTCAAAGGAAAGTTCATTCCCAGCATAAAGCATGCATTTTACGAGTTGGGAAAAAACATTTAAAAGGTTTGATCATGATATTTTGTAGAATGAATATTAAATCACCCATCCCAAGGTATAGTTTAAAATGAGCTGAAATAAATTCAGAGCTGAGACAGAGTCCCTCCGGTTCAGGAACAGCACCAGCAATGGCAGAGTGACCCTTTAAAATTATTTTCAAAAGGTATTTGTTAAAAACCTCAGTGTGGTGCCTCAAAGTCAGTGATGTAGATGAGTTGTTTGGGGGTGGTCATCAGGCAAGCGAAGCACATTCCCTGAAGGGGGAGGTGCAGTGGGGATGCGGGGGTAGGGGCTGGAATGAGGGAGTCAGTTGCATTTTCTTTAACAGAAATTTTCATGTGCAGTCTTTTCATCATATTTTTGTACTTCTCTCCCTTTCTCCAGGCCAAATGGGTAAAGGGGTCTCAGCTTTCAGCAGTTTAAAGCCTGAAAACATGTTTTAAAGCATGGTTCTAAGCCACTTCTCAGTGTACTCATAAATGTTTAAAATTAGAAGCCTTTTTTTTTTTTTTCTGAGCCTGAAAGCATTCTTATGTTTCAGGCTATTACAATTATGGTAGATTATGAAAGGTTGGGATTTTTTGAAAATAGCTTTGCATTAAATACAGATGTGTCCTTGGTTTAAAATGTGTTTGTTTGGCATTTGTGTTCATTTTGATAAGATTTGGAGGTCCGAAGTGAGCCTTATATACTGCAACATTTAGTAGTGCTTGTTTGCTGTCCAGCAGAAGGGTTGTTATAAATACAGTTTGCTGTTTACCTTGAAGCTGGACAAGTTAACATCTGGTTTTGCACACAAATTCTGTTTTTAAATTGTTAAACCGAATGTTATTGTTTTTGTAGCTGTAGTTTTGTTCCCCTCTGATACTTCATTAAGTCTCTCTTTCAGCTTCACTGTTCAACTTTAAAGCTGTTCCTCACATGGAAAGTTGTTCCTTCATCATCACACCATAAATAATCAAAGCTGGAGGAGTTCCATCACTTTTCTGGCTTGCAGAGTATTGCCTTGCTCCAGCTGCAGAGCTACAGTTTCCTATGTCTAACTTGACATAGTTGCTGGCACTAAATGTTGTGCTTCATATATTTATTAGAATTCGGCTTGCTGCTTTTTAGCTCAATCAGAGTTTCTGTCATACCTCATTAGATACTTATTTTATCTACTATTCACTGAGCTCTTTAAAGAAAGTGTCATAAGAAGGATGAACAGGTATTTAAGGGAGCAGATTCTGCCCTTTGTACAGATGATGCTGATGTTTGAGGATCACTAGCTTATCTAGGCTCAGCCGTGTAGTACATTGTATTTCTACAACACATCCACCTACACGCGCATCTATTTTGGAACGAAATATATACTTCAAATTCAGCTGTCAGTTACTATTATCAAACCTGTGCAATGTAGGTTTGTGATTGTTATGCATAAAGATTAAAATGCTATTAACTGTAGTAGGTTTACTTGTCAAATTCCATAGAGCTCTGAAAAATGAAAATCTCTGCACGCTGAGTATGACACAGAAAATTCTGGCTTAAAGGTTGTCCTCATTTCACTGTGCACTTTTATAGCTGATCTGTCACATTGCAGGATTTTCTCCACTTTTTTATTAAATTGCCATAATTTTTCTTGGTGAGGAATACTGAAGAGGACCTGAGTCTGCAAGCAAGTTTCAGTAAAAAATGTGTATCCTTTTTTCTTAACAAGTGGACAGGTTCCATGGACTCAAAAGAGTCTTTGTGTCATTACAGATACATATATGTATGTATGTATGCACAGTGTGGGGAAACATGCAAGGTTTGGGGTTCAGTCAACATGAGGCTGACTGTTCTGTAGCTCCCAAATAGAAACTAGAAATTTGAGTGTAAAAATAACTTGGTTTTCAGACTTGGATGAATTTCTAATACCTTATTGACAAAGCTTCAAGAAATCCTGAAAAATGACAATAATATGCTTCTTTGCTTGTGCTTTGTTAGGCAGTTTTTTTGACATAGTAGTACCAGAGGTGGTGTAAAATATGATACTGTTGATGCTGTCGAGTACAAAGGAAGCTTTCTCCCTTTTATTTATTTATTTTTAAACTTCACTGACTTTTCTGTGTAAGCATTAGAAATGATGGGATAAATTGTGATTTCTGCTGCTGACAAACCCAGAAACATCATTCTGAAGTTACTTTGCAGAAGCCTCTCATTTTAATCTAGAATAACTGATGAATTCAGGAAGAAGCAAATTCTATTGGAAAGAGATACATGAGCAAAGTGTTCCATATGAGGCTTGCTCTGCACACTTATGCTGCTGTAGGTGGTGTTTATAGGTAACAGATCTACTGCTGGGTACAAAGTTTGTTCTTATCTAGAGTTACTTAGATTGGCCAAGGGAAATAAGAATTTAAAGATGCCCATGCCTTCTCTTTGGCTTGAATTTTTCTGCTAAATATTTGTGTGCCAGTCTAGAATGTGGCCCAAGCCATGAAGATACTCAAGCACTGCCTAGGGGCCTTAGAGCAGATTTCAATGGAGGAAAGGGAAAAAAATGTGAGGGAAGTAGTGATGATGGAGGTTGGAACAATGTTTTGAATAGAAGTTCAAGCTTCAGTATGACTGGCCTTTGGTGTCATGGAGCCTTAAACTTCTCCTTCCACCCCTTTGTTACATCATTCCAGATTCTGCTTCCACGTGAAGTACCTCAGTCTGGAGCACCCTCGGCTTCCTTAGGTGTGATCTTTTCCAAATGGCATAGATTCTTTTGCCAATGTCTTCTTTTGGTGTCTCAGTTACAGGCTGGTAGTTAGGTGAGCCACACGCTGGCTGCTGAGACCAGCTGCTGCCAGATGTGAAATGCGGTCATTCAGCTTTCTGAGGAAAGCATCTTTTAGCTTTAGTCCATAAAAATGAAATAAAAAACTGCATTTGTGCTTAAAAAAGTAGGAAAATGGTTCACTGAGTTTTCTGCAGAGGCAACACTGGTAAGTAGTAGGGTAAAAAAAGTGAAGTGTTGCTATAAGAAAAAGCAGGTGCTGAATGTGATTTGAGGTATTTATGTGTCATTGTAAAAGACTAGAATGTCCTGTTACCTGGTTAGAATTGAATAATGGAATCAGAGAACTTCCATAAAAGTGTCTCATACAGATATGATGGCATAAAGCAGCAGTTCAGAGACACTGTGACTGAGTCCTCTCTCTCCTCTCTCCCCTCCTTTCTTCTTTCAGGAAAACAGGTTGCAAGGGGTGCCAGGGGCCAGCCTCCTCCCCAAAGCAGGGCTTAGCACCAGCCCAGGAGCAGAGCAGTGGTTTTTGCTTTTTGGAGGCCACTTCTGTTGCAGTTCCCACTGGTCCATTGCCAGTGTGAGGGTCACGAGTGTAGACAAGGCTTCCCTGTGTCAGCTGACACTTCAAGCACTGTCACAATCAAATTTTTTACTTTTTTTAAGAAAACATGGCATTTGAGACAAAAAAAATCCTCACAACCCCAAATAAAGTTCTAGTCTCATCTGGCAGTCCTTCAGTTGTGTGAACTTCTTTCAGCACAACCCCCTGGTTTTGTTGCTTCAGACTGTGGCCAAGCCTCTTGTCTGTCCATGTGAAGCAGCTCACACTCTTTTGAGTCTGCTTTTTCTGGGACTGCAGGCTCTCTACTTTTCACATGTAGTGAATAGATTACTTTTTTTTTACAGTTGATTTAAGACAAAAATAAAGCATTTTATTTCCTGAATGCTCAGTAATTTTGCACAGGTTCAGGTTTAATCTGGCTTTTGAACATACACCTGATCAAGGAGATCAATATACCTTCCTATTGCAAGGAGCAGCAAGTGACACAGTGAGGGAGGAAAGCAATAAATAACCCCATGACAATACCTTTGAAGCAATGCAGTTGCTTGCCTTTTATTGGAAGTTTAATTTCTTCATGTTTTTAGTTAAAAGCTTTTAATAATTTTAACTGCAGCAAATACGTTCCTGTACTCTGCTATTCAAATAAATCCTTTTCCAGCTCCAAGTCCTTGGAGTTTGAATCTTGTCCAGCCATATTCTGCTATCTGCCAATTCCTTGCTAAGTGCAAACCTGACACACTTGCCAACAAATCCACCTCTGTGCCATTTAAAGTCATCTGCTCTCTTTTCTCTGGAGCTAATCAAAGTTTGCAAGAAGACATTTTTCAAGGGGAACCAGCTCTAAGATTCAACAGATTTAAATTGCAAGGTAATTAAAAGAAATTGCAGTGAGCTATAAAACAGAGAAATGGTATAGACTGTTTGAAAGCTCACTTATTTTTTTTCTCCTTAATGAAGATTTGGAGACAAAAGTTTTCCAGGGTAGAATCTAGGAGGTTTATGCTGTTTTACATGCTACTCTCCTAATCCACTTTTTAGACTCCCAGGCCCAGTACAGCAGAGCCCAGCCCTGCTTCTTAAGTTGGTTGCAGCCTGTTAAACTGAAAGCA